CCGCCGCCCCGCTCCTCCCACCGCGCGGCGCCCGCCCGGCTCGTCCCGGCGGCGCTGGCCGGCCGCGTCGCGCCCGCCGCCGGCCGCCCCGGCCCGGCCCTGCCCGCGCCCACCCCGCCGCCCGCGCCGGCTCCGCGGCCCGCCCGTCCGCCCCCCGCGAGCGCGGCTTCCGGGGCGGCGGAGCGCCTGTGAGGCGGCCCTCAAAGCACGGCGGCGGCGGCGGCGGCGGCGGCGGCGGTAGCGCGGGGAACGGCGTACATCCTCCCGCGGCTGGCTCCGGCTCGGACTGAGCGCCGGGCGCTGAGCTCACGCCGCCGCCCGCCCCGCCCCGCCCGCGCCGCGCCGCCGCCCCGCCCCGCGCGCCGTCTGGGCCGCGCGTCCGCCTCAGCCGAGCGCCGGCCAGGAATGCGACCGCCCCACTGCCGGCTCTTCCAGGAACGCGCGCTCCCCCGCCCGCGCCGGTGCCGCTCGGCCGCGCTCGGCCACGCTCGGGCCTGTCCGCCTGACACTCGGCCCCGTCCGCCCGGGACTCGGCCCCGCTCGGCCCCACCCACCTGGGACTCGGCCCCGCTCGGCTCCTCTCGGCTCCGCCCACTTGGGACTCGGCCCCGCTCGGCTCCTCTAGGCCCCGCCCACCTGGGACTCGGCCCAGCTCGGCTCCGCTTGGCCCCGCCCTCCGGAAGGCCGCTCGGCGGGGGCGGGGGCGGCGGCGGCGCCGGGGGGGGCCCCCTTTCCGGCCGAGGCCGCTTCCTGCGCGGCTGGGAGGGCTCCGGTCCCGACGCCGGGGCCCAGGAACCCACACGCGGCCCCGCCACAACCGCAAACCAGCGGGGAAGCGGGCGGGACGGGACCGCGCGGCCCCACCGCACGCCGCGCGACCCCTTCTGTGACGGGGTTGCAAACGCACCGCACAGCCCAGCTCCCCACACGCGACGGGGACGCCACGAACACGGCCCGGGTTCCCACACACGACCGGCCTCCACGCAGTAGGACCCAAGGCCCGACATCGGACAGGGCGCCACGGGACAATAAGGGCCACTGACACGTTAGGGTGGAGACACCCCGAGACCCGGGCAGGGACCCCCACCCCCAGGGGTGTGGCCCGAGCAGCACCCACCACCTCGTGACCCTGCACCCGGGTCGCCCCCACGGCCAGCGGGACCGCCAGGCAGCAGCGTGGCCTCCCAGCTGTCCCCGCGCAGGACAGCGGGTTCCAGGGGCCGGGGTGGGGCCGGGATGGATGCCCTGCACCCGGGAGCTGAGCCCGGTGCTGGCCAGGGTGCGGCCAGGGCCAGGCCTAGGGTGGGTCCTCTGGAATCGGGCCCCGCAGCCCCCCGGAAGTGGCCCGTCCCCCACCCTGGCTGGGTCCTGGGGGCAGAGGACTAGGGACCCGATCTTGGACAGGCGTGCGGGGTGGCCCCCGGCGGAGGCCTGGGGGTGGGGGCTTGAAGTCGGAGCAGCCCTGGCCGTTTTCAACCTGGGTGAGGACAGGACAGTCCAGCTGAGCCGGACGGGAGCACCTCTTTCTCCACACCAGGAGGGCACCCACACCAGCCTGGCATTGGGGGGCCTGGGGACCCTGCCTGCTGGGCAGAGGCCCTGGGGCCTCACCCACTTCCGCTTGGGTGGCCTTCAGCCTGTCACCTGCTCCTACCGCCCCAATGGAGGCTGGCACGGACCAGACCCCACACCAGTGCTGCTGGGGGCAGCGCCTGCCCAGGGCACTGACCGGGCACCTCTGCAGACCTTGAGGTGCAGGCCGGTTTCTGGAGAGTCAGGTAGCTCGGGTGGGTGGGTGGGCGGGTGACCACACACCTTCCTGGCCGCAGACCCAGCAGGCGCCCGGGGTGGCCCTGGGGTCTGAGGTTCGGGGTGCAGTGCTCCATGTTTGAAAACCAGACTGCTCCCCACCATTTCCCCCCGGCCAAACCTGCGCCCTGGGGATGCTGAATGCTGTCTCACTCCCATGACTTCTCTGTGCGCGAATATGAGATTGGGGAAGGGGGGTTTAAGAACCAAAGACACTCGGCCGGCATGGCTCCGCGGCTGAGCATTGCCCTAAGAACCAGGAGGTCACGGTTCCATTCCCGGTCAGGGCGCATGCCCGGGTTGCAGGCTCCATCCCTGAGGGGGCGGGGGGCGGGGGGGGGGGGGGGCCGTGCAGAAGGCAGCCGATCAGTGATGTTTCTCTCTCATCGATGTTTCTATCTCTCTATCCCTCTCCCTTCCTCTCTAAAAAATAAAAACATAAAATAATAACTAAATAAAAGCCAAAGAGAAGGGGCTTTTCAGAAACCACTCTCTTGGCCCACACTTGGACCGAAAACACCTGTATTGCACCTGACAGCATCCGTCCCTGCCCCGTGGACTGGAACCCTGGACAGCGGGCAACCTGGAGCTGAGAGAGGGTGGTCTGCATAGAGGCTGGACCGGGAACTGAACCCTGACCTCCTGGCCGTGCTGGCTCCTGCCCCCCTCCCTCCGTACCCTCGGGCTCTGCAGGGCCCTGGGGAGGGGCCCCAGGAAGAGCCAGCCGAGGGCCAACACTGTCCCCACAGCTGCAGGATCCAGAGTGAAGCCAGCGGGGGTGTGAGGGGTGGTGGGGACAGGTGTGAAGGGCCCTGAGATGCAGGACTGGGGGGTGGGGGGGGGGGATGTGGCTGCTCTCAAAACCTGCTCCCTGTGAGAGTGGAGGCCTCCTCCCATAAGGTGTCGAAGTTTCTGGAGCAGCCAAGCCCTCCCACCCAGCCAGGACCAGGGCAGCGTGTCTGCATGGCGCCGGCCAGGCCCTGTCTGCCCTGAGCCTGGTGGGGGCGCTCCCCCCTGCTGGCCTGGGCCACGGCAGCCCATCCCAGCAGCCCACTCCTCCCACGGTGTCAGGACCACGGACCAGGCACCATCCCGGCAGGTGGAGGGTCAGGACCCAGGCACAGCTACATGAGGGCGGAGGCAGGGACCAGGCCCTCGCCTGGCGGGTGGGTGTGGGCAGCTGCTCATGCCGTGCCCACTCACTCGGGAGCTTAGCCCCTGCAGGTATGAGCCGGGGCCTGGGGCCAACCAGCTTCTCTCCATCTCCTCCCGGGAGACGGCACAGGATGGACCGCACTGCGGGGACGGAGGGGGTCCTGCAGGCTCAGGAGGCTTCTGGGGCCGGGACTGAGAGATGAGGGTGCGGCCAGATCGGGGCTTCTGGCCTGGGGAGGAGCTTAAAGTCCCAGCTGGAGAAATGGGCTGAGAGGCCTGGATCGCAGCTTCTCGGAGGGTCCCAGACAGCTTGCCCCGGGCGGGCGGCTCCGACCTCCGGGCTCCCAGCGGCCCCTGCTCCCTACACCTTGAGCAGCAGAGGAGACACTGGGTGCAGCCGGGCACAAACCCCCGCTGTCAGGAACGTGCTAAGATATTGTCTTCAGCCTGGCCGGCCTGGCTCCGTGGCTGAGCGTCGACCTATGAACCAGGAGGTCAGGGTTCGACTCGCGGTCAGGGCACAGGCCCGGGCTGTGGGCTCCATCCCCAGTGGGGGGCGTGCAGGAGGCAGCCGGTCCATGATTCTCGCTCATCGTTGTTGTTTTTACTTCTTTTTCTCTCTCTCCCTTCCTCTCTGAAATCAATAAAACATATTTTTTTAAAAATATATTGTCTTAAAACTTTAAATCTGAAAAAATGTTCTCAAGTAACATGATCTTAACAGTTTAGAAAAGACTTTTGTCTTCATTTGGTTCCACCAAAAGCAGCCTCAACACGCAGAGGATGCAGAAGGTTGACTGGGGAGGCCATCCCCGCACACGCAGCCAGGGTGGGGGGCGGGGCCCGGCGTGTGTGTGCGGCCTGTCACCCTCCCGCCGGGGAGCTGGGGCTGGGCACAGCGGGAGGGCAGGGAGAGAGCGCCAGGGGGCACGGCTCAGGGGAGGAGAGTCGGTTCCTCGCGGGCCGAGCTGGGAATTCACACCTGGGGACCACGTGGGACCATGTGGTTCTGCGCTGGAATTCGCCATGAACGCGTCTCCATATTTATGAGCAAATGGAACTGCCACAGGCGTGGATGCTGGTACAAACCTCCGCACAGTCGGTAGCTGTGTCCAGGGAGAGGCCCCGAGGGCGGCCCCACCGCGGTGAGCGCACCAGAACCGCGTCTAGGTTTCTCCGTTCCATCCTCTGCTGGAAGGAACCAGGCTCCGCTGGTGGGGGCGTCGTCCCGCGCATGGAGAGGTTTCGGGTTCGATTCCCAGTCAGGGCACAGACGTGGGCTGTTGGATCCCCGCGGGTGTGGGAGGCAGCCGGTCCATGCTTCTCTCTCTCTCTCTCTCTCTCTCTCCCTTCCTCTCTCTTTCAAATCAGTTTTTTAAAAACAACATATCCTCGGGTGAGGATTTAAAAAATAAATTAAAAAAGAGAGGAACCAGAGTTCTTTAGAGAAATGGCTGGTCCCGGTGCCAGGAGGGACCGAGGGCCCACAGCAGGACAGGGCCGGTCAAAGGGCACAGAGTCCCTCCCCCCCGGAC